ACAAAACCTGTAACCATAATGCTTTCAAGAAGTCCACTTTCAAAACGCTTTGGCTATAGGAGTTTTATATTTTTATCTTTGATTTTTTGAACCTATGCATTTTCCTGACATCATGAAGGAATATAAGTCAATATACATAAGAATATGGGAGTCTGAAAAACAATCTGTTTTCTATGTTTATATTAAGAATCCACTAGCTACTCCAAAATAAGAATTAAAACTTTATAGATATAACAGTCATATAAAAAAATAAGTTAAATATTATATTTAAAAGTTGAAAAAACTTTTAATTTTTTCTTGTGATTTTTAAATATGAAATTAACATAATAAGAAAAATGCTTCACCAATTTTTTAAATACATTTAGCACCTGAAATTGAGATAACAGAATTTTATTAATCATTCTACATTAAGCTTACAGCATCTGCTTCTTCCAAGCGACTCTTGTTACGAGATATCAAGTTTGCAAGGTTGAGAAAAACGTTTAAGTGATTTGGAGCAATTCTTGCTCTGTATGGTTCTCCAGTCTTGGGCCGAGGAAGTAATCCTTTTGCCTACAGAACAATATATATATAGTATATTTTTTTTCACTGTAAAAAAAAGCTGATTGAAATGTTAAAAAAGCTCATTCAAACATCAAAGAAGCAACATAAAGACTAACATTTAACATTAAGAGCTGAACACTGTTACATTACAAGATATCTCTTCTGACAGATTAATAACTTTCACAATTAAAAGAACTTTCAGTGATTTACTAACTTTTGTCACATATTTGAAATACAAAATTAAAATGTAAAGCATAATTCCATCATCATACCTATAAATTAACTGTGAAAATCAAGTCCAAGTCCTTTTTCCATCCTGTTAACGTACACATTTGTATTCTATGTTTTATGAGATTAAGAAGCTATTTGGTTAAAGATAAATCTTTTTTTGATGTACATCCAACTTTATTCTCTAAAATAGTAAATCAAAGTGTATATGAGGTTACTTAGATAGGTTTAATTCTCATATTCTTTTCAACTTGCAGTTGGAAAATCAGTGTAGGTAGAGTAATTGAACTGATGTTACTCCTTCTTTTTAAAAGAATAAAATTAATAAATAAAAATAATTAGTTCTATGCATGAATTGTATCTTTTTAATGAATGTAATAATGTTTAGTTTGTTGGGTAATGTGCTATATTTTAAACATTTTTGCTCCAGCATCTTATGTTCCCATGAAGTTTGTTTTTGTAGCACAACAGTGGGAATTAATTGTATAATCCCAAGAAATAAAAAAATCCAAGTTCCTACACAACAAGATGTGATGAAGATAGCATACAATAATTCAAACACAATGGTTATCACCTTATCTTTTATTGTTTTACTTTATTAAATTTTATTACTCAATTTTAATTTCTTCCAAATAAAATAATTTGTGTAAAATGTTTGCTTTTTTTGTTGTTAAACATAAAGTCACACAATGGAATATCTGTGCTGTGCCCACCACATGTCTAAAAACCTGGTTTTTAGTGTTATAAGTCTTCAGACTTGCTGTGGAGCCACTGGGGGCTGTGTAAAATGAAAATCTGATTCTGTACAGAGATTGAATAATATTTAACGTGTTTTTATTTTTGTATTGTTTCTATAAAAACAGCTTTTGACAAATAAATAACAGTAAGTCATTATTTATTTTTAATTTAGTTTCTGTTAGTTTCTCGAATTTGGTAGTAAAACTTAAAAACATTAATCACAACATCTAACAACCAACCAGAGTGTTGTAGTTTTATTAAAGCACTTATTAATTTATAGATTGATTTTCTTTGTTTTATCTGCTATATTTTCCCCAAGTTGGTTCTTTGTAAACACTTTACTACATTTACTTACTCATTATCATGGCTGAAAATATCATTAACAGCAAGATTATCCAATTGATGAAAAAATGCACTAATTCTAATCTTAATATGTAAGAATGTAAGAAAAGTTTATTTAATTAGCTATACTGATTTTTAGTTTCTCTCTAAGTAGATAGTTTACTCTCATTGGAAGATAATATTAATCAGAGCAAAAAATTTCTATAACTACCTTCCAAAATGCAGCTTCTGCCTCATTATACATCTCCAGGTTACTGTAAGTTCTTCCAACATTGATGTGTGCCCCAATATCATCTTCTTGAGCTCTGAAATAACAAGATGAGAGATAAGACCACAAGTGTTTCATATTTTAGCCAATCTTAAGGCTTTAAGAATCGAAGCTATTTAAATATATACAACATATCACTTACAATACGTAATGTAGACTTAGCTAGACAAACTGTGTGTATATATTTCACAATAATTCTTCCCACAGTTGTTCCACAATATCATCAAACATCTTTGTAACTGCTTGATTACTGAACTTCGACAGGTTGCATGTGTAACTTTAAGTCACTCATAACTTAATAATGAGTTCATGGAGGCATTTACATTAGACATACATAATTAGACACAAAAACTTATAATATGCTCTACATGTACTATCTTACAAACAATTGTAATAGCTTATCAAAAATACATAAAGCATCAACAAAAAAAGAATAAATTCAATCACTTAGAGATGATGAAAAATAATGTACATCTACATTTGTTTTATCATCAATGCATAAATTTTTCTCTGGTATGCATCTTATTTTTCTGAAGCAGCAAGCATTAATATATTACTTGCAAAAATTGATTCTAACATATGGAACAGATGTGAGATAGAGAATTCTACTTTTATTTTGTTACGATTTTGTTTACAGTTCATTTCATATTCCATCTATTATTTAGATCAACTATGGATTTTTAGTTTCCTTAAAGATCTAACTCACTATCTAGCTGAAGTTCTTTGAATTCGAGTATGTTTGTATTAGGAAGCCAACACAAGCTTTCCCTAGTGTTGACATAAAGATATTAATGTTGTGAAAGATTATGTTACCTCGTGGTCTAACCACTTAACAAAAACCTTTCCTTGATCTTAAACAAGTTAGTTTACGAGATATAGTTAGAACAAATTACTGTTGTTTGTTGCTCAGTATTGTTATTGATCTTAGGAAGTGGTTTAATCTGGAAATAGTGATTTTTGGAATTAATTTTTTTCTTTCTCTGGTTCACTTTCCTGATTCCTTTATTTATTCAAATTAATTACATTGATATTTATGTTGTATTGTTTATTAATGTTTGTATCAAGTTCTGGCCAGGCACAGAGTTGCTAACTTTTATTTTAAGTGATAATTGTTTGTAAGTTTTATTTCAGATTTCTGTTGCTGTAAAATCTTAATAAATTGGTTTTTGTTTGACCCTGATGGTATTGGTGTTTTATAAAAGGTGAAATTTAATATACTTTTTTTAACCCATTGACTGCTGATCCACTGTATAGGGTACAGTTGAATGTGAGTGTGCTGTTTTTAAAGCAACCATAGTCAAAGGGTCAATCAATATTTTCAGAACAATGATAATCACTTACTATATTTTCCAGTGAAAAGTTTAAATACACAAATAAATATGTAGGTTACAAACTTGTGGTGCTCACCACAATAATAATGCATATCCAAGAAACAATTAAAGATTTCATCTTGCAATTGCCTAATACATATAGATAGATATGCGTTATTGTTTTAATACACCCATTGTAAGCTTGTCATCTAGTTTTAAAATTCGTAATTAATTATGAAAATATTCAGTTGAGTTGTGCTGAATTTAAAATTAATATTATGATTACATTTTTCTCTATATGCAATTTACAAAAACTCTGTATTTGTTTTGTTTTCTAGCATAAACATATCTTTATGTAAAACTCACAGATAACAGTGAAGGAAAATAAGAGCAAGGCATGAAAAAATCAACTTGAACTTAACTTTATGTTTTTTATTTTCAGTTTACTTATCACTTTGATTTGGAGATTTTTTATTTGTACTGAATAATAATAATAACTCTACACATTTTCATTTTAAACAATATTATTTTTTAAACATGCTTTTTTTGTCAGTAGCTTCTGGTTGGGAGCACACCTAGTCAGCTATCTTTTGTATCAGAAAATATTTAAATATTTATTTTCTTAATCTTCACAAGTACATATAATGAAAAATATTTGCATAAATCCAACTCTTCAAGAATTTGTTAATGATATAGGTAATGGAATATTAAATAATAAGTAAAATATCTTGCACTCCGACATGGTCAAGCCTTGATTTAGATATACCTGTCTAAATAACTAGACATTCCAGCTGTTGTCTAAATTCATACCATGTGTGTCATATTATTCTGCACTGAGTGGTATATTCCTAGCTTGAAGGTCTACATCTTAAGAAATTCTGAACATTTTAACTTATTTGCTTTGCCGTAATTGGCTTCTACACATTTTTATTTTGTTTAGCTCTTAAGCTCCATTTTTGCCATTATTTTATTAGCCCATCCTAATCAAATAATATAACTTTAAAAACCTTTTCTCTGCTATTGACAAGTTTGTAATTAGAAGTCTTAGCAACCTTCAACTAGCAACTCAATGTCAGTGGTAGCTTAGAGTCACTTCCTGTAATTTTCTGCCCCTGACTACGATTTGTATTAATCTGTAATTGATTCAAACTTCTAAACACATCTTTTTGTGATGACCAGTAAAATGGTTTGCAAACTCTTTGAACATAACAATTTGTTTGTTCTCCTTTCAGTAATTAGTCAAATCTAATTTGGAAACATTCAGTGGTGTATTGGCAATTTATCTAAATTTACACACATGATTAATTGTGAGAGTATGTCATAATGTTTTACTACACCCTTTACTGCACATTAGAGTGTCAAGTTTATTAATACCACTTTCATATCCTTTATAAACACTGTTATATAACACATATACATAATGTTTTCTTCAAAAAAAAAGAACCAAAATCAAATTACAATATCTACATAGAGACTATAGTTACATCAATAGTAATATATTCTACAAATCAATGTATTATATATAAATATACTGCAATCATATATGTATGAGAAAATATGTATACAATGAATACACGCAAGACAGTACCGAGCAGCTTTAAGGAAATATTCCAATGCTTCTTTGAAATTTCCTTCACTTTCTAAAGCATGCCCTACATTGTTGTAAAGCTTTGCATTCTGTTGGTTCACCTTAAGTCCAGCCATAAATATTGTGTATTCAGATTTCCTAGAATACAAATAAACACATAAAAAAAATCGTTACAGTAAATTTCATGATCTAATATTTTTAAATATAAAGATGTCAAAAAGTTAATAAGTTATGAAAAACATTTTCCTCATAAGCCCTAAAAAATTAAATTACTAAAATATTTATCTTGAGAGGTTAACTAGAAATAGAGACAATGGAACATATTTGAATTGGTGGGAGGGGAACCAATGACTGGGGAGTACCTTATTTGCTATGTTAACCATCACCTTCAAAGTAAAAACTAAAACAGTAATTTTCCATGATAGTTTCTGTTACCAATTCAAAAAGGCTCTTTGCTACCAAATCAAAATTAGAAGTACTGTATAAGCATCACAATTTTACTGAGACAAAATAAAATTCTAAAACTTATAATGTGCATAGCAGTGTGATTCTAAGTAAGATTTTTAACTAGTTAATGCAACAATGATTGGTAACACTGAATGGCATGTGATTACAACTCCCCATGTGCCCTAATAATCCAATTTATAACAACTATCAAGTTTGAAAACTTATAACCACTTGCACAAATTTACACTTACACCAAGTTTCGACAAGATTGAAAAATGTATATAATACAGAAGTGTATCAAAATATCTTGGAGTGACACGATTTTCATAAAAAGCACACATAACACTGGAGTAGTAATGCCAATGCAGATTAAGGTAAAAAAAAAAGAAAAAAGCTCTCTAAACGACCTCAGTAACTCACCAATCAAAGTTTCGGACAAAAGTTTTCAGGCTGTGAGACAATATAAGAACTGTTAGCATTAGCCAGAGTAAGGGTTTCCATCTTCTATATGCAGAAAAAACAACATATACTTCATAAACAAATGTACTAAACAGTGGTTTTCAAAGACAAAACATACACACACACACAGAAAAAATGCAAGTATAATTATATATATATATATATATATATATATATATAATAAATAATCTGTGATCACACTCAAATAAAGTACAAATCATAAAGATATTCTTTATAACAACCATGGTCAAAGTAAAGTCCTTATATTTGGGGGGTGGGCATAGCTAAATTTTGCTGACAAAGTCAACTCAAATGTCGCAACAAACTTAGCAAAACATACAAGACTGGTGTGCAAAAATGGCAAAGATACAACACTTACTTTTATCCTATCAAACAATTTACTTAAATACTGAAAGTTAATTTGCTCACCAACTAAAAAGTGAGTCAATAGGGCACTTGATCATCATAGGGATGATAAAAATAGTAACAAAAGGAGGGACTTATAATTAGTTTTATCTCATAATTCTAGACTATACTAGGTTTGCAAACTTTTTATGGACAAATACATATTGTAGATAGATTTGCTTACTCCAAAATTAATCACATTTAAGCAATCGACGTTTTTTTTCCTTTTTTTTAGGATTTGTTTATAAAACAGGCACGTGTGAATTACTACATTTTAGGTGTGACTGATAAAATATAGTTAGAAATGATTTAAAATACTTTCTTACTATCTTCACTGTATGACATTTCAATCTTAATCATCATATTTAAGGCTTATGTATAAAATGTTACATGTGTATTCCCCTTTTTCTAACTACCAGTATGAAACTACTAAAAGCAATGAAATAATGAAAGTCTGTATGGAACAATAAATTGCAAGAATGAAAAACTTTATAATCTAAGCATTTTTAGAAGGTAGTCCTTTTCTTTTTTTGGGGTGGGTGAGGGGATTAGTCTGTCACCCCATATAAAAAGGTTTCACTTTTAATAACACTCAAAATTACTTTGAAAATACTATTCTTGTACTTTTAAGTAATTACTCTACTTTTTTCTTTTTGCATTAATCTAAAAGTAGTCACAAAAGGCAGATGAAGTTTAAATATATAATAAAATAATAATATAGAATTAAACATGTTTTTTTTTTTCAAAATGACACTAATCATATTCATTAATTGTACAGTTAATTTTTTAATCAAAGGATGAAAGAGCCACTGGCTTTCTACTTACACTCTTTCCAAAACAATATGCCAACCATATGCAACCAGCAGGCATAAACCCATACTTGGTGTGTAAAGCACTCGTTCGGCTACCACAAATCCTACAGGAAAAAATAAGTTGGAGGCCGGAAGGAATGGCAACACCAATAAGGAAAGACTCTAGAGATAAATATAAATTGTGAAGAATTTTAAGTATTCAGTATTACAAAAAACAAAAAAGCAACAACACATATGTGAATCTTAGAAACTACCAAGAGAGACATATTGCAATGTTTAATAAAGAGGTACTAGATGGCAGCACTTACTCTACATTTACTCAATCAATACTACAAGTAACAGTATAAAAAAACTTAAACCCTTCTGATACATTTTTTTAACCTGGCAAATTTCTTATTGCTTAATGCTACATGTTGTAGCTTGATAACCTAAATAATCATCAGTAACTTCTAAGGATACATAAGAATGTCAAAAGAGAAAATTAATTAATGACTGTCTAATTTAAAAGTGGTACATATAGCAAAAACAGCATTAACTTTTCACAATTTTGTGGCTACATGGTGTATACACATATATATATATATATATATTTGTATCTAAAAAAGTCAGACTTACAGGAAACATCATGAAAAGAAATAAGCATTGCCAAACAGAGAAGGCATGATTTTATAACTTCAATTCAACTAAGCCATTATCTATTAACAATAAAATGGACATTCCAAACTTCATCAAGTTTGGATTATACAGATTAAAAATTAGGAAATTATTAAGCAGTTATAAGGTATATCAAAGCTTTACACATTTACTTATTTGCCTTTTGTCTTATCATTCAAAATTACCATAGTTATTCAAACACTGAATGCAACTAATTTTAAGGCAAGCTTACCATGGTAACGATCTCAGCATGTCCATCATCAGAACTCAACACAGTCCACACCAGCAACACTAGGGAAGTATAAACTGCTAAAGTTGCCAAATTACGAGGGTCCATAAATGACTCTACTAGTGGTATTGTTCCCATTGTCCAATCACAGCATAAGTTGAATGGAAACAGAAGTAACCATGTATTGATACAGAGAAGATAATTATAAGTTAGTTGACGAGCTGGAGTGCTGGCTACAGCTGCTGGGTTGTCAAACCTATGACAAATTGATAGCAATTACATTTAGCTATACAGATGTTCTGGCTGTAATTGATAGCTTGTAATAATAGTGATAAAAAAAAAGTTTGAAATCAGCTGTACAGCTTGTAGAACTTCTGGATACAACAACTGATTAACCAAACCCATCAAATGTAGGCAACAGAGGTAGTAATGATTGGCATGCAGGATCATGTGCTAGCCACAGGTGGCAAGTTACAAAAGCTTGTAAAACAAAAAAGAGCAAAACTATTAAAATTAGATATAATATATACTTGTAGCTGCACTTTCTAGCATGCCATATCCACAACAATAAAAGAAGTCATTTATAAGTCATAGATATATTTTAATTGCATCATATCAAAGTATGTTTTTATTGATAACATCTGAGCCAATGTTAGTTCTACATCATTTCTGTTATTTCACTACCTACTAAGAAACATATGTACATAATTAAATGGAATCTATTGAATGTATAATAGTATGAATACACAACAATTCTTCATTTGCATATGAAATAGTAATGTGATAAATGTACCAGTACCAAAAATGTTACGATTTCATTTCATGTCTTTTTTCGTTTAATAAGAAATGATACATAACTATAGATGTAATTTTTCACAGCAATCAGCCATAATAAACACAAATTAATGTACAATTTAAAATTATGTGCAAAGATAATATGTAAATTGGAATAAAATAACTATTTCTAGTCTGTCCTTTATGATACAAATTTGGTGACAAAAAGTGTATGACTAGGGTTTGGTAGGTTAACAGCTTTAATTTATGTACTCCAAAATTTAAAACTTTGACATAAAAAGCACTATATGGTAAAAATATGGATTTAGTACAGTAATAACATAACATGAAGTTTAGGGACAAGAAGGGACCTACTTAGTACAGTAATACTATAACGAGGCTCAATAATATGTATATTTAATAAAACGTCTTAAGTAACAGATGTGTACCTGATAAATTTAATTTTAAATCATCATATATGATG